TAGATTGATAATAAAAATAAAAATAAAATACTGTATTTCGTAAAAAATCATTAAATTTAAAAATTCAAAATACACGAATTCATGATTTCTTTAATTTTTTGTGTATCAATAAATTTACTAGTGTATACCTCATTCAGATGTTTTGTTGGTTCGGACTTCGGTTTAATCTTGTCGGCTTTTAAAAACTGTTCCTTGGTATCATTATCATCGTCTTGATTCATCTCTTCGAGCCAGTAACCAATATACTGATTAACTGCAGTTGCTGTAGGTCTTTTATCAGGATCTTTGTCAATACATCTTTTTGCTAATTTAATATAACAATTTGGTGTTTCTGGATTAAATTCTGGTCGTTCCCCATTACAAATCTTTACTGCAAGTTTTGTATCAAACGGAGCTCCATCAAAAGCTCTTTGTCCAGTTGATATCTCGGTCATGATGATACCTAACTGTAGATATCAGCATTCTGTATGAAATTTTTTCCAGATAAAACTTCGGGAGCAACATACCCTTTATCTTATTATCCGATTTTATAGTAGTTGAGAGTCCTAAATCTGTGATATACGCATTATATAAACTATCCTGTAAGATATTTCCACTATGTAAATCTCGATGAACAAGTTCTTGTGAATGTATCGCTTCGAGATCTGAAGAGATACAGTAAATAATATTCAATTTATCTTTCCAATTCAATTTAGAAACTGATTCTAGGTTCTTATGCAACGATTCTTTTTGTGCATATTTCAAAACAATAAGATAATCTTTAGTTTCGGGATCTTTCGATATACCATGGCAAGCTAAAAACGACGGATTCTCGTAACCTATATCGCAATAATTCTTTAATTCTCGAACGAAATATTCAACATTTTTGTCCGAGTCATGAATCCGTTTAAGAGCAACTGGCATATTAGTATGATCATGCTTATTATACCAATGCGCAAAAAACACTGTAGCAAATCCACCTCATCCTATTTTTTTAATTTTATAAAAATTTTCATACTCGATCCATAATAACCTGTAATTATCATTATCCAATATCTCTTTGAGACTATCTTCAACGTTTTCGGGTGATGATTTACCATTTTTTAAGACTTCTTTCCTTTCGATACCAATGATTGGCTCTTTGAACATTTCTTTGCACCCAGATTCCATTTCTATAACAATCACCAACGTAAGACATTGCAATAATTTGTCCCATATCGGCAGCCTTTTTGAAGTATTCAAACGCTTTACATTCATCCTTTTTGACTCCGATTCCTTCTTGATAACAATAACCTACCGTATGTATTCCATTTATAAAACCCAAATTAAGAGCTTTTTGATAATATTCAAATGCTTTTTTATTATCCCGATCGATCCCAATTCCGCTATTATAACAATAACCAACATTAAATGTTCCTTCAGCATTACCCATTCAGCAGATTTCAAATAATATTCAAATGCTTTCTTATCATCATTCTCAACTCCAATTCCATAATGATATAAATAACCAACACTATATGCTCCATTAGCATCGCCCATATCAGCAGATTTTTGATAATAAATGAATGCCTCATGTTCACCCAATTCCATTAAGATACTTGTATCCAAGACCGTTTAGCTGAGCTGAATTCATTTTGCTTTTCGAACAAGAACGGTCCGAATCTGCATTGTCAACAATTTAAGTGTGCTACAGATTTGCATCATTATTCAGTAACACAACTCAAAGGTTGTGTCATGCGATAAGTTAAACTGGTTATAATAAATGTGGGGATGAAGCTGAAGCTGGAAATTAGGGATCTCGATTTGAAACTATAAACCCTGCCAAAATCTATTTATACTCTTAATATAAACCCTAACCCTAAATTCTAATCTAAATATTAAAAAAAAAAGAAAAACTAAAAAACAATGCACCCCAAAAAATTTCAATTTTCAGCTTCAACCATTTTCAACTTCAGCCACCACAATAAATAGTATTTGTTCGTCGATTCTACTATTTTCTCAATGTGCATTCGTTCTTGCTATTTATTATGACCATTTTCGATGAATTTTGCCCAAACGAGTATTACTGTTCTGTGTCATTCTTTAATTTTCACCGATTAAAAGAATGACTTATTAATGCAATTTGATATCAAATTTATTTCCAAATAAAAAAAAAAAAATTCTAGTTAAATATTTAAAGCAATTAATTGAAAAATTATTTAATTTAAAAAATTTTGGTTCTTAGAAGTTCAATTATTTAAGGGGTTCATTATTGAGCTGAATTATATTGATCGTGAGCCAAAATTATTTTAATGCTAGCTGAGTTAAACATTTAATACGATTAAACAGTTAATAAAGATATTGCATAGTATCTTATAAAGGTTGCATAACATAACTTAATGACTGAAAGCAACTTAGAAAACAAATAACGACTAGGCTGATGCGTAGCATCGTGTGTCCGGAGCACATGATATAACAAACGCGTAAGCATGCATATTTTTGTTACACTAAATTACAAATTTAAACACGCGTGCGGACGGACAAAAAATTTCTTCATAATGTTATTGTAGCGTAATGTAAAAATTGGTTTGAATAGAATAGTGGCCCAGAAGCAAAGCAGTATAATGACCACTTGATTGTGTAAAGACATTCAATTGTTATTGATTAGAAATATTAAATAAATTATTATAATTGCAGATACTAATTTCTTTTATTGTGATTTGGAAACACGTTAGCTCCTTAGAGTAGTACATATAAAAATTGTAATAAAGTAAGGATCGGTTTTATTCACTGATATAATGTATATACTGTTAACGGTAGCCAAATGTTACTGCTATAATGTCTACTCTTAATTAATAACCAGTTATTATCAACATGGCCAATAACGATAACAAGTATGAATTTAATACTATTATGGCTAATTTGTTTGCAAAATTTCATAATGTTTTTTATTTAAAATCATTTGTCTTAAGTAGAAAATAGTATAGTTATCGTAGAATTGTCACAGAAAGTAGGGTTATATGGGGTCTTTGCCTTGAAAATCAAGTTTTGATCATATGATTTACTATGTCCCGTAAGGTCATTTTCAAGGCAAAGACTCCATATATCAATTACTAATTCCGAAACGTTCCGACATAGATAATGAATGTATCATCGAAATTTTCAGAATAATCTATCAGCAATTGAATACAGAAACCGGAGAGATTCAATATAAACAACTGAATTTAGAAAAATATATTGCAGAAATACACGGAATATCAAAATATAATGCAAGGACAAAATTTATAATTTACCACAGCAGATCATCCGTCTTAATCTCTAAATTTAATAAAATATTGGTATTTTTACAAAGATTTTTTGCAAATATTTTGTATTCTTCATAGATAAGTTGATTACGATAAAATTCAAGATAAATTAAAGTAGTGTTTTTACAGAGAGCTTCTACTATTGCCTTTACTCCTTCATAACCAAGTTGATTTTCACTAACATCCAAAAACCTTAAAGTAGTATTATTATAAAGAGCTCCGGCTAATACTTGTCCTTCTTTAAAAGTAAGTAGGTTTTTAGATAGATTTAATTTAGTTAAAGTAGTGTTTTTGCAAAGAGCATCTGATAATACTTTTACACCTTCATAATCAAGTCTATTGCCACAAAGTTCTAAGGAAATCAAATTCGTATTTTTATAAAGGACTTCTGATAATGCTTTTACTCCATCAAAAGTAATTTGATTACTATTAAGATTCAAATGAGTTAAATAAATATTTTTGCAAAGGACTTTTGCTATCGCTTTTGTTCCTTTAGGACCAAGTTGATTATCACAAAGATTCAAGGAAGTTAGAGTAGTGTTTTTACAGAGTGCTTCTGCCAATATCTTAACACTCTCAATTCCAAGGCAATTACCACGAAGATTTAAAGAATTTAAAGTAGTGTTTATAAAAAGTGTCTCTGATATCGCTCTTATTTTATTTTCAAGACCAATATTATTATTCCCAATATTTAGAGAAGTTAAAACAGTATTCCTGTGCAGAGCCTTTGCTATCATGTTTATTCCTTCAACTCCAATATTATTATGATGAATATCCAAGGAGGTTAGAGTAATGTTTTCACAGAGAACTTTTGCTAAAGCTTCACATCCTATAAAGCCAAGATAATTGCCATGAAGACTCAAAAAAGTTAGAGACCTATTTTTATAAAGAGCTTCTGTAAGTGTCTTTACTTCTTCAAAATTAATATTATTATAAGAAAGATTTAAAGAAGTCAATGTGGTATTTTTACAAAGGACTTCTACAAACGTTTTTGCCCCTTCATTGCCAAGATCATTAAAAGAGAGATCTAGAAAGGACAGAGTTGTATTCTTATAAAGAGCCTTTGCCAATATTTTTGCATTGTCACGGCCAAGGTGACCATTAAAAAGGTTTAATGAAGTTATACAAGTATTCTTAAGAAGAATATTTGCTAACGCACTTACTTCTTTAAACCTAAATCTGGTATTAGAAAAATTTAATGAAGTAATAGTAATATCATTTTCATAAAGAATTTCTAATATTTTACTATCAATTTCCATTTCGATATTAATAAAGTGCTTAATTTTTTCACTTGTTCGTAATAGCATTTTAATCAACGAATGTTTAATTATTTGAACCCCTTTATAATCATGAAGTTTGTTGTTAAGGCGGTTTGTAAATCTCTCATGGCGAAGCCAGTTTATAATTCCTCCGTCTAAATTATGGTATTCGATTGATGAAGTATAAGATGTATATTCAAATAATGGTTTTGGACCATATGGAAGTAATATATTTAATAACATTATTGGTGCTCTTTCTTCCTCATTTAATGATAAAAGGTACATTCTTATAAGTCTAATATCTTCATAATACGATGAAGGTAAGGGTTTACCCCATAATATCGGAACAACATTTCTACACCATTGACGGTTTACAAGAAGACATGAAAATAAGAATTCATAATAATGTTTAAGATGGTTAAATATTTCAATAAGGCATTCATTTGGTAATATGATCATTTTAGAAATCGTAAAAAAATTATGTAGATTGTAATAAATAAAGTCCAGGTAATTGTTCTCTGGAGAATACGGAAGAAACTAGATGCCTTTTAAAAGTCTTATGGGCGGATTTGACTCGACATGAGGTGATTGATCTACATGCATATTCAGTACTACATATATATATAAACAAATCATACGATTTTGTTTTCATAACGATAAATTCTTGAACCCATGTAGTTAGTGATGGGCATGCGTGTGATTTTTTGGATCCCGCGCGGGATTTTTAATATGATCCCAATTCAAGCCAGCCGGCCCACATTAACAAAATTTTAAGAAACCCACGATGTAATCCTATCCCGCGCATCACGCGCGGATCACGTAACCCGCATCCCGCGCGGGATATTTTGGAAAACCATGATTTGCCCATCACTACATGTAGTCAACAACTTTTGCTATCTTTGTTCAGCAGACCTTCGCTACTCATATCGATCTCAAAGTTCCCTTGTTAAACGTATAGATGTTAGACGAAACCTAGGAGGTTTCACCATGACGAAAGGCGAAACCTAGTTTCACCTTTCGTCAAAAAATTTGAAATGGAGAAACAGCGAAACTGACGAAACTAACAAAAGGTGACGAAATTAATAAAAGGTATTAAACTAGTAAAAGTTGACAAAACTAAAAAAAAGTGACGAAACTACTAAAAAGTAATGAAACTAATAAAAAATTACAAAATTTATATAAAATATTATTTTTTATAAAATATATATTGTGTTTTATATTCAGAAAGTGTACTAGGTTGATGTATTACTATGATTAAATAGATAGATGAAATAATTATATATAAGAATACTTTTTTTTGTTTTATGTTTAAAGCTAGATTGACTTCTATATTCTCACATAATGGTAAATGAAAGAGATTCTGCTAAGTATTGTAATGATCTTTTGATAATAACATATGTATTAACCAAAATAGAAAAATGCAATTAATAAAATAGAGTATTTGGATAAAAAATAAATTTGTTTTGATTATATCTATATGTTATAAGAATATGATAATAATCAGAATCTACAAAAAGAGTAATATTGTTATATGAATAAATCTTGATAGGATCTACAGGTAGAGGACCTGCATAGCAGAAATCTTAAGCAGTAAGGTAGTATGATCTTCAGTCATACTAGTTTATATTTGATCTAGTAGAATACTGAAATTGGAAAGATATAGATTGGGTTTTAGAGAGTATTTGTAAAATATCTAAAAATGAAAATGAATACTAATAAACAGTTACAGCTAGAATTAGAATTATATAAACATCATAAGAGTTTATACTAGCTAGATTAGAATATAGAGTAACATAGTTAAATATCATAATATTATAAAATAAGTTTTATTTATTTTATTTTATTATTAGTATTTTTATTATTATAAATAGTTAGTTTGATCTGGTAATCTTAGTGTAGTGGTTAGGTTGTTAGACTGTCATATAAGAGGTCTAGGATTCAAATCCTACTGTCAACAAATTGAATAATTATCTAAACCTTTGTATCTAACTTATAGTAAACCCTGTTCATTTCTGAGAGTTGTAACCCTGTAAATTATATAAAACTAATATCAATTAGGTATTAGAAGTATAACAGAAAAGTCAAGTATAATATAATATTATATGAATAAATCTTGATAAGATCTACGAGCAAGAGACTTGTATGGTAGAAATCCCAAATTAGATGATGTAGTACAGATTTCAATGGTCATACTAACTTAATACTTGATCTAAAAGAAGTCTAGAAATGAAGTATGCAGACTGAGTAGGTGCGAAGTAAGTCTATAATATAACAGAAAAGTCAAGTATACTATAATGTTACATAAATAGTAATACCAACCTAGCTT